ATGTATCGGATTCAGTACCACATACGGAAGTGAGTCCGATCGGATTTGAAAATATCGGATCTGAGCTGTTCACACTGTCATACCATGATCGGATATGGGTCGCATAGGGTCAAAAAAATCAGATTTGATGCGCTTTCACCTGCAGTGTGAACGTAGCCTAAGCCACCCAAGAACCCAAAGTGATGTTAAAGCTGAGTGAATGATGACCCCAGACAAGGAGTCATCTGTTTGTTGCCTGAACTTTAATAGGCAACAGATGTTTGACTGCAAACAGTTTTGACCTGTTTATGTTTCTAAAGGAGAATCACTGCAGTGGTCACTGATCACAAGTCTTTTTGTGGTGTTTTTTCATCTTTGCTTTGTGCTGTCTGCTTTGTGTTTATACCTAAATACCTAGTGAAAAATCTTATGTGTGTCCTCATTAGGATAGGAATTTGTGTTGGTGTATAGGAAAATAGTCTGCAGATTTATATGGTTTATTGGCAATTATGAGACAAAGACATTTCAGGTAATTTTAAGGAGAAACACTGAAGTAATGTTACGAGTAGTGCAAAGAATTACTTTCTCTTTGGGAATAATTAAGTAACATACTGCTTTACTTTTAAGAAAAGTCTAATTTTGTAATACATTATAAACAGTTGACCACACAGCATTGAATTAATTGTATGAATGTGATTTCTTTTATGTGCTGGTTAGCGATGGTGGTGACTCTTAAAGACACTGCAATAGAACCCCTAATAAGAGAATCGAGATGAACTGATAAGTGGTATCAATAATGGAATCCCAATTGCTAAATTCTTGTCCAGTCCCATCCTTAAATCCAAGCTATGTGTTTTTTAGGGAAGGTCTTGCTTATTCAGTGAGACTACACCAAACACCATTCTGCAATGATCTAAACACTCATGATCTTGACTGCTTGCATTTTGGACATATCCAGATCTCACAACCATAAGTTCAGGCTGGAATAAAGGTGAACTGGTAAATTGAAGAATCTCTCTTCACCACTGTATTGCTGCTGAAGCCACACCAATACTCCAATCCATCACATACTCAATCTTTCTACCATATGTGAATAAGAACCAAACATACTCGAACTCCCTTGTGAGGAACTCCCTCGCTTGGGGGAGCCCTCTCCTCCAACCCGAGGAAGCATTCCACCATTTTCCAGAACTCCCATAGTCTCAGACTTGGAGATGCTGACTCTGATCAGAGCTGGTACTAGGCAAAGGGCTCCAGTGCATGCTGAAGGTCTTGCTCTGATTAAAAACCAATAGAATCACATGATCTGTAAGAAGCAGGGATGCTATCCTGAGGTTTCCAAAATGGATTCTCTCCATATGTCAGCTATGCTATCAAATCCTGTCCATGAATATGAAGCTTATGCATAATTTCAATAAAGATCTGTAATCACTCATCTGCCTGCTTTTCTTGGATGTTAGGCTGCTTTTCTGTTCTAACACTGACCTCTCCTTATTTAAATCACAAACAGGAGATGAGCGACAAGCATGGAGGAGTCCAGCATCCACTCAAAACATGCTTGACTTTGTGTGAAGGATGTGGAAACAGCTCTCTCTTTGGTTATACAGGGTGGGCCATTTATATGGATACGCCGTAATAACATGGGAATGGTTGGTGATATTAAAGTCCTGTTTGTGGCACATTAGTATATGTGGGGGGCAAACTCCTCAAGATGGGTGGTGACCATGGTGGCCATTTAGAAGTCGGCCATCTTGGATACAACTTTTGTTTTT